TTTTGTAACGCTTCCCAAGGACAACTATATGCTGTATATAGACGTTTGATTTGTGCCTATTGTTATTGCTTGTGGTTCTGGCTGCTTACGGAACATATTCTCCATTTTGAACATGGACTTCTCTCTTTAAATAGCGGGGCTTGAACACGTCAGAATAGCTATCTTATTGGTATTTGGTCATAGAGTCTTTGTTGCGTTCTCAGACTAGGTGAACTCGTAATCGCTTCAAACATAGCGTATTAGTAGTAGTAGTAGTAGTAGTAGTATATTACTATTATCCATATTAGTAGTATAACTATTGTTAGTAGTATTCGTATTATTGGATAAAATTTCAAGCATGAAAATCCCATAAACTACTTTTGAATAAGAAAAGCAAAATCTCTTACAAATTCAATAATTCTTCTTCATCCCTTGAAAGACAAAAAAGAGCATATGAATTAGCGGCATTCTATATCTGATAGCCGGTATTATCTTTTTATTGTTAATTCTGTTGAAAGATCTTTGTGTTTTTGCTTTTTTGTTTTCTTTTTTAATGATTTCTCCAGAATTCTTTCTTTTTTCTCAATTTCTTCTCTTTTTTCTTTCTTTTTTCTACATATTGTCCAAGTTGAATTTACTTCTATGGTTTATTCATTAGAATTCGATTGTTGATCCGTTAGCACATTTTTCTGCTTTATTTCTTTTCTTTTCTATTTGTTGTTGTGGTTGTTGTTAAGACATACTTACCGGTATAGTTCGATTCGGTAACTCAACTGTTTCGGTGAAAAACAAAAAAAGAGAAAAGAAAAGAGGGTTGAATAATTTACGACTAATATGAATCTGTCGACAAGTAATGAATCAGTGATTTATTCATGTACCAAAAGATTTTGGATGATTCTAAGATTGAACGAATGATCTAAATGGATTGATTATTATAGAAATAGATTTTTCTGATGGAGGTTTGTTCTCTGTGATTGAACTGTACTACTCAGGTTAAGCCTGCATGTTGTCTATCTCTCCTGTTAAACGGGATTGAGCTACACTGTGTTGGTTGTCAATAAAAGACTAGATGGTGTCTAGTTCTCCTGAAAACCAATGTAACATTACCCTGACCCACAAGAGTATATTATATATAAATTTGATCTCTGATCATCAAATGTTCATTAGTTCTGTTTAATTAATTAAACCGATTTCAATAAGTCTACCTAATTACTAAATTTCTGGTATTGACTGTGTTGTTTGAGACAATAGGATCACCATTATTATGTCATCTAATTCATAGAAACTAAGACAAACACAATCTCCTTCCTAAACTAATGATTCTTCTTTATCATTTTTACATGAACTGTTATAGATAAGCACCCGTTACAGAGTAGACGAGCACTAACGACTAGTCCCATACTAGAACGAAACAGTCATCCGATTCTTACTGATTTTTAGTGCTGATCTAACATTGATCGCTTCATGATTTCCATATAGTTCAACAACCTTTACAACTGTATACCGATAATCATCAATTGTAATCAGTTTTTGTTTTCAATGAATATAAGAATTTGAAATCAATATTCAGCATAAGATGGTGAAGATTTATAGCTCAGGTGGATGATTTTGATAGAGTTTTGTTCTCTGAGCTGAATGGTTTAGTCGAAGAGCTTTTGTGGTTATTCTGAACGATATCATCAGCATACACTTCAGGTAGTTTGTACTGATGATATCGGTTCAGAATAATAATAAAATCTTCATGAAGAAACGATCCAGCACAGAGAGCTAAAGTCCTGCTTGAATATCTGTGCTAACTGCTCCTGTCACCTAGAAATTTTTACAAGTTATCTTCTTTGTTTGTTTTAATACATCATTATGTTCATGAGTTGCATAACCTATTCGGATACGTTTATGAAACGTTCACGATCTTTCATTGTACAAGTTATAAAAGAGCCCAATCAGAGACATCGTAGTTACTGGCAATAAACATTCAAAAGCGTGAACATCATTCAGATATCTCGAAAAGCGCATGTCTGACGCTCTAACTGGGTTGGTGGACATGGAGAGTCCACCTAGAGGAGTTGGAAAACCCTCATTCCAAACCAATGGAGCACATGGACTCCAGGATTCTAAGGAAACAAATGGCGTATGAACCTATTGTTGAAAACTGGCCAACATAGGACTACATCTCCGGACGTTACTTCACTGCCTTGTGGATCAGACCATTAGGTTGAAGGCTCCGAGTGTGGCTTCCTAAGAAAACCACCTTCTATTTAGGTACTCGGGCAGTATCCCAGCTCTCATACAAATCGAATGATTTATGTGGCACATATCTATTTGGTGCCTCCCTGTACCAATGTTTATGTGTTCAAATAAATAAATAAATAAGTAAACTCTATGGGTCGATATAAATTTCAAGCGTAAATTGAAATAAGGTATTTCATGATTATTGGGATGATTTTATGATTATTTGGGCATCTGTATGCATTTCGAAAATATAAACCTAACTTTTCTCAAATTCACTTGGTATTATTGTTTACTTGAATCTTCCCATTGTTATGTAGAACTACAATTCCTCAGTCTCTTGTTGGCATATGTGCGCATTGCCTCCTGGATTCCATCGCTACCCACTATCCATCTTGCTAGTACAATTTGAAGGTTGAGATAGTATTACACGATTTCTTTCGTCCCATTTACTGAAACCAAATCAAACGGAAGTCTTATGAAATCATATTACCTTTCGAAACTAGATTCATTTTTTACAAAACAACGATTTCCTTTTTATAGGATACTGTTGTGGCTTGAGAATACTGGCTGATATGTGTTAAAGTCGCTTATCGGAATTTCAACTATTCCGTTAATAACCTAGCATTCTAGACTTGTTTAATTACACTTTTGATCGACACAGTTAACCTTGAGCTGGAACAAACTAAGCTTGCATCTATCCACCATTGCATAATCCTTTCTCTATCTCTTGCCTTGAATCTAAAGAAAAGTCAGCAGCCAGCTTTAGTTATTCAACTCAACTATGATTCATACAAAAGGGCAAAATTGTGATCACACATCAATGCAATTGGAAAATTACAGTAATGGCATAACTATGCCATAAGCGAAAAAGAACTGAGTAATAAGTTCGTAATAAGTTAACAAATTACGAAAGATACAACGTATAATGAAGGTATTGTATGTCACAGAGAAGATTACAAGCAGGAGAACAAACATAAAAACAATAACTTCAGGTAGGAAGACAGTTCTGAAAGTTCGACTTTTCCAAAACTTATCCCGCCAAAACAGATAAACAAAATTCGTCACATCAAAATGGAATGGTAACATTGAGAGGCAATAGCAAAGAGAAGTGGGCGTCTAGCGTTTTATGGATGAACTCATCTAAGTAAGTTGGGAAATACTATTTGTATACCAATAATGCATGTGTACTACAAAATCTTGAAGGAACAATTAGTGTATAAGCCAACCTTAATCACTGACTGGCATTTCCTAAAGTTTCTTCGCAATCTTCTTCAGATCAGATTACTAGATTAAAGGGTTGAGGATTAGTTCCTATTTATTTCGGTTAAGCTGTCTTAACAATATCATCTTATCATTTATACAAATCACGGAAACAGGGAAACTATGAAACACTATTTTCGTGTACATTTCTATTGTACATAAGGATTTTGTACAGATTGTATAATTCCAAATGTTGAACCATTAGAAATCACAGAACTGCGCTGACCTCCATACACACAGACACTTAAGTAACAGGTAAACAATCCCTAATGTGTTTAGATTGATATCATGAATGGATCAATGTTAGACCACCATTGACAACCTGGAAGCACTGGACGGCCGTCTCGTCCTGTTGTGAGACTCCTTAATAGTGCGCACCCACGACCCTACTCCCAAGATTCAAACCCAGGGCCTTCAGTCTTGCACGCGAACGCTTAACCTACTGAACCACTGAGCCGGCATGCAATGGTGTTAATGTCCAACCTCAACCAATCCACGAAGTTGCGCGACCATCTTCCATTGTAATGAGCTAGACACCTGTTTCTACCCGACACGGATTATATATATATATATATATGGTGTCATTTAGCCAAATAAACTTCCTTTCTCACTCTTCATCTTTTATTTCGAGTAACCAGATTCGCATATATAATGAGTTAGTATCAGTATCAACTTTCAAATACCGTATGTCAAGACATTACCATCCAATAAATTTCGAAAAAAGTTTATACATTTGTACTCTACCATACACACACACACTCTTTTGAGTGGTGTTGTTGGGAATGGGGTAAGGGTTTGGAAATCCTCTGATCAATTGAAAATTATGCATAAATTAAGTTTTTTTTTAGAATCTACGGTAAAATATAAACACAAATATAGCTTTATATATATATATTTCTTATGTGTGGGCGTAGATAATAATTGGTTGTCCGCTTAGACGGATATGTAGATAGTCTGACAGGTGTCGGATGAGCTATATATTCCCCTATGATTATTATTAGGACTCATTAATATCAGATGGGTTTTGTGGAGATTGTAGTAGTTTCAATGGTTACGATCATGAGCCAATTGAAGCTAGATCACCATGGAAAACCTGGAAGCACTGGACGGCCGTTTCGTCCTATTGTGGGACTCCTCAGCAGTGCACATCCATGACCTCGTCCCCTGCGAGGTCTGAACCCAGGACCTACTGGTTTCGTGCGCGAGCACTTAACCACTAGACCATTGAGCCGGCATCCAATGGTGTTAATGTCTAACTTTAACTAATCCACGAAATTGAGCGACACATTCACTCATTATTGATTGTTCATTACTGTTGGATTGTGTCGAGTTTTTGGTGTGGAAATAGATTTACATTGTGGTCAGGCTAATCACAATGTTCTTGATCATCTGAATTGTGTTGAAGTCCTGTAGAATAATAGACACTGGGTGGGATGAGAATTTAGTGTAGATATTCATCTAAAAGGTAAATTAACGTCTCATACGTGTAAACATGGCAACCCAACCATTATAACATTAGACGAAGTAAAAACTGAGCATTATAACAATTTCTATTCTAAACATTTCATATTTCTATACAACACATACAAAAGATGAAAATCCATTCAATCGAAAGTGTTTAAACAGGCAACACAATATAGATGATGTATACATACTACCTAAAAGGTATAGATATATATATATATATATTCCCAATTGTCTCAATCAATGAATTGAAGTTAATTCAATCATCAGAATCAGTGGAATAAACAGATTATTCACTATTCAATTCAATATGGTAAATGTTGTTTTGTATATTATAAAGAATAAAACACAATAATATATTTACTTCCAAATATAATTTTTTGGTAGATCAGCCCTGAAATTAGTTTTTATAATCCATGGATTAAACATTATTTCAAGTATACTTTTATATTTTGGATTATATGCCGGTGGTATACAAGTACGAGGATCCTAAAAGGAGAAAAAAGAAAGATAAGATACATACATAGAAAATTAACAAACAAATGATATAATGAGAGATTTAAATCAAATCGAAATTTATACAGACACACACACAATGTGAGGTATGCTACGGTATGGTCGAAGGTGAGGAGAGTCAGCTCTCCTTCTTGAAATGCTCTTTTATATGTCCACGTGTATACAACCGCTCTGCTAGGGGAGACCTACTGATCAGTGTCTTCTCGCACCATAGACGTTGTTTAGCGAAATTGAGAGGATGAGAAGCGAATGTCCGTTGATGATTTTAACCAGGTTGGTAGATATAGAGAATCTATCTAGGGCAGTTGAAAAATTCTCATTCCAAACTAGTGGTTCACATGGCCTCCAGGATCCTGAAGAAATAAACGACGTGTAAATATATCCTTGTTCGCCGGCTGCTATACAACTGCATCTCGACATTGCTCCACTGGATTGGACCTCTAACTCAAAGGCTCGGGGAGTGGTCCACTAAGAAAACCAGCCGCTTTAGTTTGGGCACACTGGAAGTATTCCAGCCCTCGTGCCAACGTTTATGTGTTTAAATAAATACAGTATGCTACTTATGTTGACAGATATAAGCAGTATATGGAATGCCTGTGACTAGAAGATTGAAATAAAGGGGCAAGATAAGAAAACTTAAGGCAATCAATATAACAACAGGAATTAATGGGAGATGGGAGAATAATGTATTTAATCTATGATTTGCATATATTACCAAGACGCTCTGTAATTTTGATTATCCCTATCAAATTTTCGTTCAGTTGAACAATATCATACACATTATAAACGTAGTTTATTAGATTACTTAATAATAAGCGAATTCATGTCATACATTTACACGCCATTGTGTTCTAACTTTCTAGATTATTAAAATCATTTAATAATTTAGCTTTGAAAGTGAGACGATTAATCTACTATCTTAATCCTAAGGTGAAGTCTTAATTTTCAAAGGGTAATTCTAACATAATTAATTAGTTAGTCTTATCTCATTGAGTTGTGATTGACCAGATGTTATAATTCTCTTTTATTATAACAACCCAGCTATTCTTATTGCTTAGTGATCTCGGACACTAACTTCACTCGACAACTCCCCAAATCAGAACACAGTTGAACAGGAAAAGAGATTATATTTCAAGTACCAACAGTAGATGGAAGTAAGAAGCACAACAGGGAAAACGTTAGTATATTTATAGTTTTTATATGAGAAGATTCTAGAGTATTCTCCAAAGTATCGACTAGTGTTGATTGTTATCAGAATGGGTTTTGTGGAGAGTTATAGAAATTTCACAGGTTGAAATCATGAATCAATTGAAGTTAGACCACCATGGAAAACCTGGAAGCACTGGACGGCCGTTTCGTCCTAGTATGGGACTCCTCAGCAGTGCGCATCCACGATCCCGCACCACGCGGTGCTCGAACCCAGGACCTACTGGCTTCGCACGCGAGCACTTAACCACTGAACCAGCATGCAGCAACACAATTATCCATGAAGCATACTTTAATCTAATCTATGTCCCGCTAACATCAGATTACATTAAGAATCAGTCAAATTTATTGATTGTCACTTAAGTTCACCTTCATCATTCAACTCTATTAGATGATGATGATGATTATTATTATAATGATGAATTACAACAACAACAACAACAAAAAGGAATAAACTCACTAACCATATGAATAGCTGCACCTTGTAATTCTTGTGCTTCATAAGTATAAGTTAATTCATTTAAATCCATAGGAAATTCTACTTGATCAAATACTCTTGTAAATTTTTCATGAGCATTTGAAAAACTTGAAAAGTAAAAAAGAGAAGAAAGAGAAAAGAAAATCGATACAAATTTATGGGACTCTGATTTTTCAAATAAGAAATTGATGAATAGTAACTTTGATAATATTTGCATATTAGTTGCTTGAATCTTCCCCCTCCCTCTTATTGATGTTTAGGATTGTAATGAATGAATCTTGAGATGGTGGAGAAGATTTGTAGCTCTGATTGATGATTCTAATGGTTTAGTCTTGTAGCTTCCATCGTTCTTCTGAACAATATCATCAGCACAAACTTCAGAAAGAAATGAAGTATTCGAATTTCTCCATATGTGGTTCATAGCTTGTTCTGTAGACTTTGATGTTGATTAGTTTTTGTTGACCTTGAATTTGTCATTGTTTACTTTATTGTTTTGATTGTATCTCCCATTGGTTTGGTTTTTGTTCCTATATTTGTGCATAATTTTCCTTCCACGTGTATTGATATAAGTGAGGGAATGTCATGGCGTTTGATTGCTAATTGGTGTTCGTGCAGGCGAAGATGAAGTAAGCGCCTGCTTTGTTCGATGTAGTGTTTTTCGTAGTTGGCACAATTTATTTTGTAGATGATGTTTGATTTGTCTTCTTTTGTCATTTCACTCTTTGAATTGCATAAGATTGATTGTAGTGATTTTCTTCGTTTGTGTGCCACACCTATTCCGAAGGTTTTCAGCAGCCTTGTTTTCGTTTCTGATATGCCTTTTATGTGTGGTGGGGAGATCCTTTTGTTGATTTCTGTACTTGCCTTGGATTCTGATGATGCATGTGGCTGGTATTTTTTGATGAAGTTGATTGGGTGGCCGTTCTTTTGACATATGTCCTCCAGGTATTTCTTTCCATTTTTTCGTGCTGCCACTGTGTCCTCGCCCTCTTGAACAAAGTGTGTATGCAGTTGATTTTGTGAGCTCTTGAGTTGTTGCTATTGTGGTTGAGAATTCGAAAATTATGCACAAACATAGGGACAAAAATCAAACCACAGAAGTAAACAATGACAAGCTCAAGGTCAACATCGAGGTATACAGGACAAGCTGTGAACCACATATGGAGAAATTCGAACACTTCACTTCTATCTAAAGTTTGTGCTGATAATATCGTTCAGAAGAACGATGAAAGCTCCACAACCAAATCATCCACCTCAGAGAACAAAACTCCATTAAAAAAATGGATATCTCTTCTTTTGGTAAATATGTATCCTGTAGGGATTACTTTGATATCACCACTAAGTCATAAATAGTATAAACAAAGACGGATTCGAATCACAGAGTGAACATTAACAAGCCTAAGATTCAAGTACATTCGGTTGACGAGTCCTAAATAGGATGAAACACGTGTCATGGATTCCACTACTAGCCACTATCCATCTTTGCTTATAATAGTGGAAAATGTTTATGAATTTCGACAGAGGATTACTTACTTTAATGTTACTATTAGCTACTATAATCTAATATGAAATAAATAACTTGAAGGGGGTATATTCAAACCACAAATTAGATATTTGTTTGTTATAGTCTATAACGTTAGAAGCGGTTTAGTGATTAAGGATGAATTTGTGAATTATATCACACTTATATCAGATTACTTTCTTACATATAAAGTATGGCGCTTAAATCCAAATACACAAATATGTTCTAAGTAAATAAGTTGAAAACTTTCCCATATTTCAGTATGTTCGATATGATATGTCTACTACTATAATACCTAATTAATGACTTCTTAGCTACTTTCTATAGTCTTAAACTGTTTCAACATTTCAACTCGAATAATAGAGAAAACAAGTGAAATGTAAATGAACCCTTTATTCCAGAATTATTAATGATGTACAGAAAATCAAGTATATTCATAATTACACGTAGCTTCAATCTTCTAGAACTTTCTGGAAACATGCTAAATATAGTAATGACACAGGTAATTATCCAATCATAAGATGAAATATAACCCTTCTTATTTATTTATTTCTTTTAACACAAACATATTGGTACAAGGAGGCACCAAATACATATGCGCCACACAGATCTCATTTGATTTGTGAGAGGGCTATGATACTACCCGGGTGCCTAAACCGAAGCAGGTGGTTTTCTTAGGAGGGGCCACACCCGGCGCCTTCGACCTACAGGTTTGATCTACGAGGCAGTGGAACATCGTAAGGAGATGCATTCCCATGGTAGCCGGTGACCAACGATTGATTCCTACGCCATTTGTTCCTTCAGGATACTGGAGCCCATGTGCACCATTTGTTTGGAATGAGGGTTTTTCAACTCCTCTAGGTGGACTCTCCATGTCCACCAACCCAGTTAGAGCGCCGGACATGCGCTCTTTGTCCTCTCAATTTCGTAAAAAACACCTCCGCCATGAGAAGGCAGTGAGTAGGACTTCCCTGGCAGAGGCTATATACGCGTGGCCATGTGGGGTGAACGGACTCTCCCTACTCTCGGCCGTACCAGGGCATTTGGGGGCATATTTTTATTTTCTTAGATATACCTGAGAAGCTTATATTTATTGTTGATTGAAAAAAAAAAACATTTACAAGTATCTTTTAAGCTTCAATACTTTAATGAGAGGTATATTAAGACTTCCTAACAAAATATGCCATGAGCTTCATATATTTCCTGTTTATAAGTCTTTCATGAGTTAAGAATTTAAAATCATGAACTGAGATTGATTAGATGATTATTTGAAACCAGGAAACAATGAACCAATACCGTCTTGTTTTAGTAGGGAACTCAGTAATGCTAATTTTACATAGGTAATTATTAGAAATCTCAATACATATATAACGAAGATGGTATTTTTTTACTGAATGATATATTCGCAGTTAGATGATAGTTAGTAAAATATGTGACAATAAATAATCCATGAACAGGCATTCAACGATGTTAATGTATGACTTCAACCAATTCACGATATTACGCGACCATCTTCCATTGTGTTCGATGGGTAACTGTCTCACAACAGACACTGTTGAACTCCATTGGTCACGGTTTCTCATTAGAACTCTAGGAGCTTCATCTTGACGCTAGTCACTAATGAGCACATGATTATTATCAGTATAGGGATTTCTGGAGATTTTAGTATTTCCACAGTTGAATTCAGGAGTCGATCTGAGCTAAACCACCATTGAAAACCTGGAAGCACCGAACAGCCGATTTGACCTAGTATGGAACTCCTCAATAGTGTACACCCAAGATCCCACGTCCAGGACTCGAACACAAGATATTTGGTCTCGTACGCGAACGCTTAACCTCTAGACCCCACAAGCTAGCATTCAACGATGTCTAGTTTCAATCAGTTCGAGATTTTGCGTGATCATCTACCATTGTCTTTGGTGGGTAACTGCCTCACTTGGTGACACTTGGAGGAAGCCGAAGGAGGAAGTTTAGGGTTGAAAGTCGATGTAGGAGGAATAATAGGAATTGAAGAGGAAGGTTGATTATGAATACAGTGGTCTTGGGTGCTGTTAGAGGTATGAGGGCGGTTATCACTTCCCGGTTGCCCACACCGTGGAAGGGTTCTTCTGAAGGTACCTGAAAAGGAAATTGGATTAGAGGCGGTCTCAGTGACCTGAGAGCGTGACCGCAGTCCCCAAGGGGCAACTGCTTGAGGCCGGTCACACACGACCTTTTTGTGGAAGGTTTTTGACGTGTTAGCTCCGTTCTTCAAAGGGCCTTACCGCCGGAGACGGAAATCCGTGAGGTAAGGTGAGGCTCGCATTTTTAGGGTCGAGCTTTTCTAACCCCACCCCTCCTTGTGGGAAGGCAGCATCGCTGTTATGCTGGTTGTCCGAGGGAAACACCTTACTGCTGTCACACCTCTCTACAGTCAGCAGTACGACTTCGCCTTCGGACCTTAGGTTTGTTGCTTTTAGTCTTACCGCTCTTCAACCGACCTGTCTGACATGGTAGGACCTTGAGGAACGGTTGTTCCAGCCAGTATAGCTCGGTTGCTTCATCACGATAGGCAAGCCCGACCACCACGTCAAGGTAGTAACAACGGTCGGGAACTGCCTCACACATGACACGGTGTAAGTGGTGGAAACCTGGAAGGGTCTGAGGTTAAGCATCCGTGTGAGACCAAAAGTCATCGATTCAATTTGTGGCGGTGCAGTTCATATGCCTTATTAAAGAGTCCCGTACTAGCATGAAACAACTGTCCAGTGAAACCTAATTTCCTATGATGATCTAGCTAAGATCAGTTCGTGATTTAAACTACAAAAAACATGAGTGTCAATTTGTATGATCACCTAGTGACTAGAGAGTCCTACAGGGTTCCCCGGAATCTATAATTATTTATTTAAACATAAATAAATATTCTAGTACGACACAATGTATCAAAAAATATATCCATCACACAAATCAACCGATAATACTGTAGAAGAACAAGGGAAGGAGTACGATTACTAAAGAAAATGAACAAAACCAGTACTTAATAAAAGATATAAATGAATTAAAAATATAGTCAAGAAAGACTCATTTTAGTTAATGAAGATGATCCAGTTATTACAAATAGTATGGTGAAAAACAGCAACGAGATCGCCTACTGACTTTGATTCTGAACTATATCTCATAATCCATTTTTTGTGTTGGTTGTTTCTATCTTCCTATTGATGATTAGGCTTGCAATTGATCAGTCTCCTTTGATATACCTGTATTCTGTGCGGATTGTTTCGATATTGCCATAAATCACAAACATTATAAGTAGAAATGGATAGTGGCTAGCAGTAGAATCCCAGACGCGCGTTTCGTCTCATTTGGGACTTATCAGCTGGACGTGCGTGAATCTCATTCCGAGACTCGAACATAAAAACGTTCAATTAAAAAGCCATTAAGTTATCCACTTAGCTACTGAGTCCAAACAGCCACCAACTTGTAGATTGAGTTCGAGTCCTGGAATGAATACTAACAAGCCTGGGATGCAGGTACATCGAGCTGACGAGTCCAAAACAGGACGAAGTTCGTGTCCTCAATTCCACTGCTAGCCATCATCTTTCTCTGCTTATATATTTTATAATATCACAAAAGGTACAGTGTTGAACAATCCTTGAAACTATAAGTAGGCCCCATCATCTCTAATCACCTTTTCCATTTAATCTGATAATTGGTAAGTAATAAATGATATAAAAGTTCTTGGGATGAACAATAAACTAGAGCACATTTAAATGCCCTTTATTTATGTATTAAAAGTCAAACTGTTATGAATCCAGGTCTAAATAATGAACGTTTTTCTTACTAACAAAGTATTAAACAAGTAAATGATAAATTATTTCAAGATCAATCCACTTACTCGAGTCTGGAATTTATTAGACTACTTGCGTATCTTAAAGCAAGACGCCATTCAAGAAGTTTGTAATCATCACGCATTAAATATTGACCACTTAAGTCAATTTCAGTGGCATTTTGTGCAATCTTTAAAAGAAATACATTGAATAAAAGTCAAAAATGTACTCAAATAGTAGAAAATGATTTATTCTATATTGAATCAGTTAGTACTGTGTATATGTATTACTTAAGTTGATGACTTTGTGGAGAAATGTGTACTCACAACTCTCACTATATATATATACAACTCAAAGCAACTGTCAACCAACATCAAGGTCAGAATTTTCAATACAAATGTCAAGACAGTTCTACTGTATGGAGCAGAAACTTGGAGAACTACGAAAGTCATCATCCAGAAGATACAGGTGTTTATTAACATTTATTTACACAAAATACTTCACATCCGTTTACCAAACACCATCAGCAACAACCTACTATGCGAGAACAAACCAGATTCCAGCGAAGGAAGAAATCAGGATGAAGTGTTGGAAGTGGATAGGACACATATTAAGGAAAGCACCCAACTGTGTCACAAAGCAAGCCCTCACTTTAAATCCTCAAGGCCAAAGGAGAAGAGGAAGATCAAAGAATACATTACATCGAGAAATGGCGAGAGACATGAGGAGAATGAACAAGAATTAGAAAGGAAGACCCAGAACAGAGTGGGTTAGAGAATGCTGGTCGGTGGCCTATGCTCCATTGGGAGTAACAAGCGTAAGTAAAAAATGAAATTAATACCATAGAAAATATTTGAATGTAAATTATAAAAATCCGTTTTATTGGAGCTAGAAAATAAATCAGGGACAATATCCATTTGTATTGTTGAGTATAGTACTATTGAATCGGTGAATTCGTGAGAAATTGAAGGTCATTATGCACAATATGAACTCACCATCTATAATGGAATTCAGATGCCCAAAAAGAACATAAAAACAAGATTTTAAAAAGGTATCATAAATATTAATGAACTGTTTTTTCTTTCAAAACAAAAAAAAACTTACAATATAGATATCATCATCATCGTAAACATCCACTGTAGAACCATCAACAGTGAGGATATGAGAGTAACGGTCCATATTTTCTATATAGTAATTTCCAAGTAAGTCTTCGTAAGCATTTAAGAATTCATCAGTCAGATTGCGTGCGTTTACCTCCCAAGGCTAAAGAAAGTGTTAATCAAACATTCCTTTAGTAATATATATATTGTTTGAAGTAATTGAACAGAGTCCAGATAAAATAGTCTATAATCTCATACAAATCTATGCCGGTTCAAGTTGCTACACTATGCAACAGTATAGTACGAGTATATGAGGAAGTACATTCATAATGAATAAGTGAAATATATACAATGGTGATGTAGATAAACGAGAAATCATAGGTTTCACATGTACAGAAACACCAAGAAGTGAACACATATGAGCTATAGCGATTGTTTTGGGATCAAATCACACAGGGTTTACAAATAACATTTGATTATCACCAGTGAAACTCAGTTTGAAAGTATTCTCCTATTTATATGAATCAGACCATTACTCCATAAATTAATTTATAGAGTGAATTTATGTATTAATTTGGCTACTCTCTGTACTTTTTTTCTCTATATGACTAGTAACTGTGTACATGTTGTAACATGTGTTTGAGCTATTTCAAACCAAACATATTCACAACTTGACCAGATTCTTTCTATTCAGTCAGTAATCAACTTACAGCCTGGAGCAAATGTGAGCTAGCAGAAGTCTTTATACCACATTAGAACGACAAGATGAATAGCAAACGAGACGAAATAATGTAGTAACGACGGTAGTGAGAAAAACTAAGGATTGAGAATGTGGTTCGAGATGAAAGGAAAAGAAATATATCAAGGAATGTTAGGTGGTTGGATGTGTCAAAAGGAAGATCTACTAAATCTAGGTCTCAAGCTAGTTGACATTCATCGCCGAGGTGTACCTATATTCTTGAAGGGACTTGTGCACTTTGACGGATTAGATCTTGTGTCACCTAGGTGGGGGACGTTGCAAATGAGCTATTCGAGGTGCAACTAACCAGATGTAGAAGTGAGTTCTTTATGATCGATTGATCAGTGAGTAGTGACCAGTTTCATGTTTGTCAAATCCTTTTTATTATTGATCGAATTCTATAGACTAAGGAATGAATACTGGGACTCAACATATACAGTAACATTGTGACAGATTCTGAGCAACTCCACTAAACGTTTTCAATTACTGATGGTGGTTATCGTGTGGATAGTCTTCTACCAAAATGACTCAGATCAACAGTCAATGACTTTATGGACTGATATCAAATTTTAGTTATCCCCAAACTTATTCCTACTCCATCCAACATTGAATGTCGAGGTAGGAGGCTATTGGGCTTATGTAATACATACCTCAGCCACCTCAGTTCAATGGGGATTCACAACTTCACCAATTGATTCGCTACCCTTGCCTAGGTATCCTACGGCTAGGCAATGACAAATAGGAAGATAGGGATCTTCCCTCTCCTCATTGTTTAAAATTATGTGTCCAATTTTAAAATTACTCAACTGATGGTATCACCACACACCAACAATACTTCGAAAGCACATAAAATCCGAATACTCTTCGTTTTAAAATACCTACTTTCAAGTGTAATGCTTTATAACTACATATTAGAATGAGGTAGACAGATTAATATATATTACGTTCTTGATATCTACTTAATAATATACAGGAGAGAACTTGGCTCGACCTAGGTTAAGGCCTTGACACGATAAGCTAATTGGTTCGCCGTCGAGGCTAAAAGTGAGTGAATCCGAACCAAAACTAACGGGATTGAGCAGGGACGGAAACTATTCTGTCACCTGGTTGGTTGACAAGTCCTGCTTCGGCCTGAACACCCGGACAGTATTCTAGCCCACACACAAATCAAGTGACTTGTGTGGTGCATATGTATTTGGTGCCCCTTTGTACCAATATTTCTGTGTTCAAATATTAATTAATTAATTAATTAATTAAATATTAGGGTATAAAAATAGAGTACAAAAGGTTACGTTTAAATTACAGTAGCTTTGGAATAGAAAAGGTTATGAGAATGAATGATGCATGGAACGGAAGCTTATGGTTTGTAGAATCACTAGGAACAAAAGTGCATGTATTTTACAAACTTTGAATTAAGCAGAATAATGTTCCCGAAAATACCTTTCGTCGTTCGACATGGCTCCTTTACTTCTTTACTTACATCAACACACAGTCAGTCAGTCAGTAACAACGTAGAACTTCGTACGTACGTACATCAGTTCGAGTTGCCACACCACATTAGCACAGATGCAGTTGTCGATTCAAATCCTGTAGTGGTAGAGGTAATAAGAGTATAAGCAGCAATCGGGAAGATTAGGGTTTGGAGATGTTATTTAAAGAGTATAATCCAGTGAAATAAATTTGGAAAGAGGAAAAAAAGGGACATGAAGAATTCAGAAGATTAGAATTTGGGAGAACACAGAGAGTGGATGCACCTGCGCCATTGCAAACGATTTTGAGCCATTTCATTCAGGGTCTCTAACCATCGGTTGCTATCATCTCGCGGTCCCCAACCAGGTAGTCTACACCTACCAACATGACTCAGTTCACTTGTCAGTGACTTAATGGACTTGTGCCATGTTTTGGTTTGGCCGCCTCTAGCTTTCTTCCAACCTACTCCTATACCACTGAACATAGCACGTCGAGGCAATCGGTCGTTGGGCATACGTAACACGTGTCCCAGCCATCTCAACTGATGAAGTTTTACTACTTCATCAATTGATTTGCCATCCTTACCTAGTACCCATTTCCTAACAACTGTGTTACTTACTCGATGGTCCCAGGATATACGAGCAATGTTTCGAAGACACCTATGATCGAATACTAGTAGCCTACGGATATCCTCTACTCCTACCGGCCACGTTTCACTGCCATAAGGTAGGACGGAACGAACTGCTGCGCAGTAAACACGTCCTTTGGTTGATAGACGGATATCTCGCCTACGCCATAGATGACACAAGTTGGCAAAAGCTAGTCGAGCCTTCTGTATCCGTGCTGAGATTTCGTCACACACTAAACCACAAGGGCTGATGAGACTTCCAAGATAAGTGAAGCGGTCGACACACTCAACTACTTCACTCCCTATCACTAGTTCGGGTGTCGATGTAACCCAATCCTGAAGCAACATTTTGCATTTCGAGGGAGAGAATCGCATCCCGAACATGCTTGCATTGTTGCTTAGAGTGGTCAGAAGACTCTGCATTTTGTCAGTGTCTTCACCAAATAAAACTATGTCATCTGCATATTCTAAGTCAACAAGTGAACCTCCCGGTACAAGTTCAACCCTTGGAAATTTAGATGAGGAGTGTTATCTCTAAAAGTACGTCGACCACAAAGTTGAACAAGAATGGGGAGAGTGGACAGCCCTGACGAACACCACTTGAGGTAATCAATTCTGATGACAGTTCGCCATAAGCTCTTACTCTACCAGTTGTGTTCGAGTAGAGAGCCTTTATAAGGTTAATGTACTTCTTTGGTACTCCTTTCAGTGATAAACACTGCCATAGAACCTCACGATCAACAGAGTCGAATGCCGCCTTAAGGTCGAGAAATACTACCATTGTGGGGCGTCTGAATATGTGTCTGTGTTCTAGAACCTGACGTAGTGTGAATATCTGATCTATACAACCACGTCCAGGTCGAAAACTGGCCTGGTTTTCTCTAATCTGCTCTTCACGAGCTTTGATTAGGCGTCGAAGTATTATTGAAGTTAATATTTTAGACACTATATTAGTCGAACTGATTCCTCAGTGATTGTCACAAGAGGACTTTTGTCCTTTCTTATAGACTGGCACAATCAGTGATTGAGACCAGTCAGATGGGATTACGTCCAGTTCCCAAATTCTACCTAAGACCTCGGTTAATCTCATTGCTAATACTGGACCACCATCCTTAAAAATCTCAGGAGTAAACCTGTCAGGGCCTGCTGCTCTCCCTCGTTTCAGATTTCCTATGGCTTTTTCAACTTCGTAAAGGGACGGAGGACCTACATTAACTTGCCATTCAGGTTGACTAGAGATCGTGGGAAACCGAAGTGTGGCTGAAGGCCAGTTGAACTGATCCCTAAAGTGTTCTGCCCATCGATCCAATCTCCTGGATTGAGAATGAATAATATGTCCATCTTTCTCTGAGATTGTTTCGCTAACGGTCGGGTTCCTAATTCCGGTTTCCTTAACGAGTCTGAACAATTGTCTGCTATTACCTATTGCCGCTGCCTTTTCCATCTCTCTTGCTTTCGCTACCCACCACTGTTCGCGATCATTGCGTAGGCTTCTTTTCAGCTTGTGCTTAAGCTGACTCCGCTCTTCATTATGTTCAGAGCCAGGTGGAATGAGTTTCCGAGCATCTATCAGTGAGATAGATGCTGCTGAGATCCAGTGTTGCTCCCTAACCTTCTGGTTTACCTTACTAGCAGATATCACTGCTGTTTCCACAGCTTTTCGGATATCATTCCATACTGCATCGGGGTGGGCATCACATACATGGCTACCTAACTGTTTTCCTAGTTGTTCCTGAAATATACTCTTAGTTTGACTATCATTAAATAGGCCCCTAAGAGGTTTCCTTGCAGCGTCTTTCCTACGTCCAGTAAGACGCAAGCAAATACGCGCTCGCACTAGAGCATGATCTGAATCTAGGCATTTGCTCCAGAATGAGCGACAGTCTTCTATCGAGCCCCTCCGTCGGTGGCTGATAGCGATGTGATCTATTTGGGTCCAACGTTGGGACGAATTAGGGGGTCGCCATGTTAAAAGATGTTTTTCCTTATGCTTAAAGTTAGTATTTGCAAGGAACAGGCGGTTATCTGAGCATAGCTGCAACAGACGGTCGCCATTATCTGTTCTTCGAGCCACGACACCATAAGATCTACCTAGGTGTCTTTCCCTATCGCTTAGTTTACCTACTTGAGCATTAAAGTCACCGGCCACTATTACTACATCCGAGCGCTTAGCTTTTCGGAGAAGGTCCGAAAGCTTTCTGTAAAACTCATCTTTTACATCATCTGAGCTGCAGTCAGTGGGAGAATAGGCAGAGACGACGAAGAGGAAACGACGAGTGTCCCTATCTTTCCGGATTCTTACTGTTCCGTTCAGTCGGACAGAACACAAACGACTGTCTACTGGGATCCACTCTAAGAGAGCTAGTTCTGCCCTAGGACTCAATGCTATACCTACACCGGCGAGGCCACGGGAAGCAGAATCAGGGCTTCCAGATACACGGAGCGTAGATCGAGTCGGTTCTTTATTTTGACATGGTGAGGTCAAATGAATGACGCTACTTGGATCCTGTATGAGCGTTTCGGAGACGCAGCACACATCGATGGCGCGAGATTCTAAAGTCCTAGCTAAGGAAGCCTGCTGTCCTATTTGGCAAAGTGTTCGTACGTTAAAAGCTCCTACGTGTAGTTTAGAGCGTAGTTTCAGGAGACCAGGAATGGCGTTCCACGTACTCGAATCGTTTGCCCTAGCGGTGCGAGGTGATAAAGAGACGTGAGGAGGGTTGGTCGGGGAGATAAGAGAGGTATTAGGAGGTGTAGGAAGGATTTGAATGTGACCACCTTGGTCTCTTGTGCTGTTACGGGTATGAGGGCGGTTATCACTTCCCGGTTGCCCACACCGTGGAAGGGTTCTTCT